GCTTTGTAGGGGGTGTGTGTGTGAGATGAGGCAGAAAGAAGAAGCAGGACCCAGTGGGGAAGACTCAGGCTGAGCCTTGTGAGGAGCACTCCTCAGGTCTGACCGAAGGTCGGGAGGCCTGGGGCAGCAGGTGCGCTCGCCGTGGCCCTCCACATAAGGGCAGGCTTGTGCTTAGGGTCGAGGGCCTGGAAAGACTTGGTCTGAGGGGCTTAAGATTTATGTATTTATTTGAAAGGCAGTCTTAGAAGCAAAGGCAGAGAGAGAGAGAGAGAGAGGTCTTCATCCACTGGTTCCCTCCCCAATTGGCCACAATGGCTGGAGCTGCACTGATCTGCAGGCAGGAGCCAGGAGCTACTTCCATGTCTCCCATGTGCATGCAGGGGCCCAGGGACTTGGGCCATCTTCTGCTGCTTTCCTAGGCCATAGTAGAGAGCTGGATTGGAAGTGGAGCAGCCGGGATTTGAACCGGCACCCATATGGGATGCTGGAACTGCAGGTGGCGGCTTTACCCACTACACCACAGTGCCGGCCCCAGTCTGAGGAGTTTAAATGCTACTTATAAAATGGTGGGCTTATTTCCTAGGCTTTTGGACAGTCCTTTCTCCAGCCTGACATCCACCTTTTGAAGCAAAATCTCTTCTACTTGGAGACTCTCAACACCAAGCAGAAGCTGTACCACAAGGTAAATGCTGTGTCTCTTTCTTGAGCCTTGGGTCGGGCACTGGGACCTGCCGTGGCCCCCACTCACTGGTCTCTCTCTGCCCACAGAAGACCTTCCGGACCAACATGCTGTTCCAGTTCGTGAACGTGCTGCTCCAGGTCCTCGTTCACAAGTCCCATGACCTCCTGCAGGAAGAGCTCGGCATCGCCATTTACAACATGGCCTCTGTGGACTTCGACGGCTTCTTTGCGGCCTTCCTGCCAGAGTTCCTGACTGTGACGGTGTGGATGCCAACCAGAAAAACGTGTTGGGGCAGAGTTTCAAGATGGATCCGGTGAGGTGAGAGGGCTGAGAGTAGGGCCAATGTGGGCCAGGGGCGGGGGCTCATCAGGGCCCGGGCCTGGTTGTGCACATTCTGGAGGTTGGCCACAGTTTGTCCAGTGGATGCCCCGGGGCTGGGCTGCCTTTCGGTGGAGGGGCACGCGCTCTTCCCCAGTCTCGGCTTCTGCATCGTCGTCTCAGCCACGTGTGCCCACCTCCTGGGCCTAGCACTCAGCTCCTTTGTCCTGACCTGTGCCGTCACCCTGCCCTCGTCTCAATATGGGGAGGCACTCCTCCGAGCCAGCACTGGTGTGGTAGAAGCCGCGCCGGGTACTCTTGCCCAAACTTGCAGACAGGCGGAGAAGATTGGTGCCCGGCAGCTGTGCCCGGGGGGCCGGGGTTAGAGCTGGGGCTGACCTGCGGCCACCAGTCCTGGGAGTGGCCCTCACAGCACGCACCTGGGCCGTCTCCACCTGACAGCAAGCATCGCTGGTGATGCGTGCTGTGCCGCTGCACGGTGCCCGGCATCTGCTGTGGCCTCCTTCCTGGGCGCTGCCTCCTCCTCCTGCCGCAGGTGCCCCAGTCTCTGGGCCCAGCAGGCTGCTCGGGGAGCTTCCCTTGTGGAATAAGCAATGTTCCTCTTTATCTGCCTGATCCTGGGTCAGGTCAGGGGAGGTCCTGATGGCATGTTCGTGCCTGCACGTCAGTGTGGGGAGCCGCAGCTGCTCCAGGGGAGCAGCCGTAACGACTCTCTGCTTTGTGATGTGCAGCAGGGCGGTTTCTTCTCACATCCTACTTACTTTTGTCTTGGATCGGCTTTTACTTGGGTTTGTCTGGTCCTCTCCTGAGCTTCTGGAAGTTCACTTCAGCTACTTGGGTATTTTTCCTTCCTTGTATATTTTTTAAAGATTATCAATTTATTTAATTTATTTAAAAGGCGAGTGACAGAGGGACATTCTGTTTGCTGGTTCACTTTCTAGATGGCCACAACAGCCAAGTCTGAGGCAGGCGAAAGCCAGGAACCAGGAACTCCATCTGGGTCTCCACAGGGACCCAAGTGTTAGGCCATCTTCTGCTGCATTCCCAGGTGCATTAGCAGGGAGCTGGGTCAGAAATGGAGCAGCCGGGACTCAAATCAGTGTTCCCATATGGGAGGCCAGCATTGCAAGCTGTGGCTTAACCTGCCGTGCCACAACCCTGCCCCGCCTCCCTTTCATCAGAGGCTGGATTCTCTATTAATGATCAGTTTCTAACGACATGAATTTCGTCAACTTGTTGATTTTAAAACATGGCTTCTGCTTCTACTTACACATCGGAAGCACTTGGGTGTGTATGAAAAAATAGGGAAGCACACTCAGGCTCCACTCTGGAACTTCTGATTTGCTGTTTAAAAGGCAACCCCCATGGCGCTGGTTCTAGTCCCGGCTGTTCCACTTCCGATTCAGCTCTCTGATATGGTCTTGGAAAGCAGAAGAAGATGGCCCAAGTCTTGGGTCCCTGCACCCGTGTGGCAGACCCGGAAGGAGCTCCCAGTTCCTGGTTTCGGGTGAGCCCAACTCCAGCCATTGTGGCCTTTTGGGGAGTAAACCAGTGAATGGAAGCTCACTCTCTTCCTCTCAGATAAAAAGGCATTGCCCCTTCTGTTCGTGAATTCACTGTGAGTTTGAAGCCGCTGCCTGGAGTCTGGGTCCACAAGCTCCTGCCTTCACCCAGTCTTGCTGGGAAGATGGGCTTGCAGTGTGCTTGGAAGAGGCGGAGGGTCATGTGGCGGGTGCCCGGGAGGCACCGGGATCCCCTGGGGGTCCTGCAGAGGGTGCACTTAGCAGTCAGGAGCAGAACTGCCAAGGACAGCTGAGGACAGTGCCGCTTTCTCACCATTCCACCCCTCAGCCCGGGAGAGACGCCATGGGCCCCGCTGTGGGACTCCTCTGCCAGCCCCTCCCCCGATTGCCTTGAAATCTCGGCTCTTTGTCAGAGATTCACAGACTCGTGTTTTTGTTCTTGTTTTCTCAGCATTCCATTGTGATACTAAGAGACTAAGAGGCTTAATGAGCAATAAAAGGCTTATGTTGTTATAAACCCTGGTGCAGAGCTTCTTTCCACTCGGGCCTCTGCCTGGCCGGCATCCTGCCGGGGAGCAGGGTGGCGAGGCTTGAGGCCTCCACGGCGGGCCACTCGGAGCCACAGGCAGACCAGGACCCCAGTTCTAGTGAGGGCAGGAGTGGCGGCCTGGACAGCCGGCCCATGGGGGAGGTAGCACTGGCATCCAGGCCCGCTCCTTCCCTTCCCAGGATGCCCGGCCAGAGCTGAGGGTTCTGCGGGGGTGGGAGGGGAGGCCTCTTGATGGAGCACCCAGGGGTAGAGGGTGGAGTGGGGATGGCGGGAGGGCGAGTGAGGGCAGGGGTGGAGGGCTCCCTGACAGGTCTCAGCGCCAGAGCCTTGCCCAGCTGTCCATGTGCACGGTAGGTACCCATCCTAGAGTTTGCAGCACTTCCTGTGGTAGGTGTGATGGGCGGGGCTCCCCGGAGGAGTTGGGGGTGTGGTTCCTGAGAAAGAGGAGGAGTCATTGTAGGCAGGGAGAGAGCTGTGGGCTGATGGCTTCTATTGCTGTGGGGGTGCTGGGCAGGTGTGAGCAGCAGAGGGGTGTGTGTGCGTGCGCACATGCACACATGTGAGTGTGCCACAGCCACTTGCTCCAGGTCAGAGCTCGCTCCACGGTTCAGGAGGGAGGGAGGTGCAGGGGCTCTCATGCATTCCTACACCTGCTGGGGATGAGGGCTAAGGGCATGGTCTGGCCCAGTGGCTGCCTGTGAACCACACCCATGGGCAGGAAACTCCAGCAGGACTTGGGGAGGCCTTTGCTTCTGTGTGGGGTGGAGGGACTCCCATTGCTTGGCTGTGTGCAAGCAGAGGCTGGGTGACCCAGGGCTGGGCGGTTGGGAGGCCACAAAGGCCTCTGAACTGTTTCTTGCCCTCAGTGCTCTGGGGCCTGGCCCAGAGCAGGCCTTAGGACATGTGCCTGGACTTGGATTTGTTCTCGGGTCCTGGGCGAGCACGGGAATCGGGTGGTGATAGAGGGGACAGAGATGGACAACAGTGAGCCTTTTGAGCAGTCTCAGGTGGGGGCTACTGAACAAGGGGCACTGCTCCCCCTGCCGCCTTGGAGGGTGAGGGGGCTCCCTGTCTCCACGGAGGTTTTGTGGCCCACATCTACCACTGGCACAGCCGCTGGCCGTGGGAACTGATGACACCTCTGTATAATACCATCTTTTCTGGGGTCTTTCTTGACCACTAGCCTCATGGCGGTGGAGGGCTAGAGGTTCCTTTTTTAAATTTTTATTTATTTGTTTGAGAGGCAGAGCTACAGACAGAGAGGGAGAGACAGAGAGAAAGGTCTTCTGCTGGTTCACTCCCCAACTGGCTGCAATGGCTGGAGCTGCACTGATCTGTAACCAGGAGCTTCTTCTGGGTCTCCCATGTGGGTTCAGAGGCCCAAGCAACTGGGCCATCTTCTACTGCTTTCCCAGGCCATAGCAGAGAGCTAGATGGGAAGTGGAGCAGCCGGGATTTGAACCGGTGCCCATATGGGATGCTGGCACTGCAGGTGGCAGCTTTACCCGCTATGCCACAGCAGCAGCCCCAGAAAACTCTCTAAAGTAGTCGTCAACCCTGTGTGCCCACAGAAAACCAGTGCTGATGTGTCGTTTCCCACATTTCCCTGCACGTGTGCAGATTGGAGTGTGAGATCATTTTGCTCCCCCCATTTTGTTTTTAAATTGAGCTCCTGCTTTTTTGTAGCCTCCTTTTTATCCACTATGTGGTGACAACTGCCTACGAGAACATGACTTTTTTTTTAAGCTTTATTTATTTGGAAGTCAGGGAGAGAGAGAGGTGCTGGTTCCCTCCCCAAATGGCCACAATGGGCCGGGTTGGGCCAGGCAGCAGGCAGGAGATCCATCCTGGTCTCCCACGTGGGTGGCAGGAGCCCAAGCACTTGGGCCCCGGGAAGCCTGCATGAGATCATGGGGAGGGGGATTACCACAGCTGAACCCCCAACCAGGACATGTTCAGCAATGAGAGAGCTTGTCAGTGACAGTGCTGGCACAGCAGGTGCAAACAGACCAGGTCCTGTAGTCCCACCCGAGGCAGCCAGGCTCACTGCGCGGTGGGAGGGGCAGCAACCCTTCCTCTTTGGAAGGCGGGCCCAGGCACTGGTTTGACCCCTTGGACTCCTCTCAAAGGAAGCCACTGCCCCGTCCCGACGTTGAGAGCCTGCAGGGCCCAGTCTGTGTCTCCAGCACCCTGCAGAAGGCTTGATCTGGAGCAGGGCCCCCCGAAAGGCTGAGTACGCCGTGGTGGCTTATGCAGCATCCAAGCAGGGACGCCGTGTCCTTGCTGGCCGCTCACCTGCCTGGGCCACCACAGGCCTGATGTGACCAGGCACTCCCTCCCCTCCTCCCCCAGTCCGTACCATCTCCGGGATAGCCTGCCTGCCTATGCATTTATCTCCAAACACCTGGCCTTCAGTGGTGGTGTGGGCATGGCAGGGGCCGGCCCTGAGCTTCTGAGAGTCCTGCGGACAATGGTGGGGGGAACTGGAGACAGACGCATGTCCTCATCAGCCCCCACCCCGCTCCAGGAGGGCGCTGTCCCCACTGCAGAGGCGAACTCCGCGGGCGGCCACGTGGAGGCCGGGGAGTCGCGGTGACCTTGCTGCCAGCCTGGAAGGGCGCGCGGGGAGCGGCACTTCCCATTCTGGATTGCGTGTGCGCAGCATGTTAATTGTCCTGGTGAGCCTGAGCCGCCCGGGGCAGTGGCCGGAGCCCGGCAGAAGCTCTGGGCCTGTTTCCGGAATTATCTGCACCGCCCAGCACAAATGCCAGGAGGATATGGGGGCTCAGAAAGGGGGCGTGACTGACCCAAGGCCACACAGCCACAACTGAGACCCAGCGCCGGTCTGCTTTGGCCGCCGTGTGCCCGCGTAACTCATAAACCTCACGCTCTGAGTCAGGGACGCAGGACATCTGTCACTGCCTGCCGGACAGGACCTTGGTCACACATGGTCTTGGTCCCAGCCAGGGGCGGGGCGGCCGCTCTGCCCCTCTCCCTGCCTAGCCTGGGCTGAGCCGCACCTTCCTGGCTGCTGCAGGAACGGGACCCACGAGCCCGGGGCCTGGGTCCCTCCCGGGGCGGGGTGGGGGTGGGGGCTGGCTTCCTTGTGCGCAGCAGGGCTCTGTCCCTGGCAGGGTCTGCGCACACCTAGGCTCGGACGTTTGCTCGAGGGTGGCACAGGCGGGGCTGGGCTGGGGGGGAGGTCACGTCCTGGGTCAAGGGCAAGGCAGAGAGCAAGAGGAGGCCTGAGCTGGTGTCGGGTTCTGCACGACAGCCTACGCATACGTGTCCATGAGCCCACGAGTGTGACGACTGGGTGACTGGCAAAATGGATTCTGATTGGACTTGGGGCACACGAAAAATTAGCCAGATTCCATCCGCTGGTCCAGTCCCCAGATGCCTGTCACAGCCAAAGCCAGGAGCTAGGAGCTCCCCCCGGGCTCCCCTGTGGCTGAGGGGACCCAGCACTTGAGCCACCAGGTCAAGTGTCGCCTCCCAGACTGCGTGTTAGCCGGACGTTCGGTGGGAAGCACAGGAGGGCGTGGGTCCCAGGGACCCTGGTGCGGGTCGCAACCCCCTAAGCGGCGCCTGCCCCCGGGGCTCTGTCTTCGGTCAGGAGCCCTATCCCCCCCCCACGCCCCGTAGGGGACTGCCGGGGGACCGGTTAGCCCGGTTGTCCAGCTTCAGCCTCCGTGCTGTCTGCAAGGTCACCCCCGCCTTACAGACGGGGAACTGGAACTTCACTCGTAGCAGGCGACCTGCCCGAGGCCGTGAGCACTCCGGCATCGCACAGGACGCTGTGTGTGCTGCCCGCCCGCGTGCTTCGTCGCTCTATGTGACGTCAGCCCATGCACTCCGGCGCTCTCTGTGACGTCACCCTGTGTGCTCTGTCCCCGTGGCTTCGCTGCATGGTGCTGATCACCTCAGCTGGGCTGGTGCAGCGGGTGGCGCATGGCCCTCATGGGCTCACTGCCCGCCCTGTCCTCCTTCCTCATCCTGCTGTCGTCGCACGGTGAGTCTCGACTCCGTCCTGCAGGCCTCGGCGGTGTGGACGCCGGGCCTGGTCCCCAGCGAGGCAGGCCGAACCAACCATCGATGGCTGTTTCCGGTTGTGTATCGGGAAAGGGATAGGGGACACGGGGACAGGGACGGGCGCCCACCTCCGCACAACCGCTCCTCCCGCAGCCGTGCAAAGGCCCAGGGGCAGGAGCCAGCCACGCGGGCCAGAGAACATGAGGCCTATATGGCTGGGATCGGGAGAGTGCGGGGCCCTGGATGTTATTTACATTGTACATGTGCTATTTTACAGGAATTTTAGTCAATAACAAAAAACAAACAGCATTGCCCCAGCCCACCCCCGCTCCCCAGCACAGCCTAGGCCGCCAGGGCAAGTGCTCAGAAGAGGTCTCAGCCGGTCCTGTGGCTGCCCCAAACTCAGACAGCCTAAAGCCCCGGGCGGGGGGCGCAGAGGGTGCCTGTGGCGGTGGTCGCCTGGCCAGGGCTGCGCGCGCCCGCCGGGGCTCCTGGCAGCGCAGGTCTGTTTTCTGGGATACTGGACCTTGAACATGGAGCCTGCTGCGGCTGTGAGCTTGTTCGTTCAGCCCAGGCCACTCATCTCCCTCTGGCTTCCTCTCCATCTCCAGAAAGCCCTGGATGGAGCCATTGGGGGTCCTGTGGGGAGATCCCCTCTCTGTGCCCACTCCTGTGCCCACTTACCTACATTTCCTTATCAAATAATAAGGCCAAAAATATCTATCTGGGGCCCAGTGCTGTGGTGCCTCAGTCTCCGTGAGGATTGGTGCTGTCTTGCTGTCCAAGGCGCTCACAGTCCTCGTGCAAACTCCCCCTGGGATTTGATGAGTTTGAGGGCCAGGACCAGGGCCGGGCGGGGCTTGGGCTATCACAGAGGACAGGGGCAAAGGGCCTGGGGCGCCGCTCTGCTGGCCTTCGTCTTCTGGGTTTTTCTAGAAGCGTCCTCAGGTGGGCATGGCTGATGCCGGCTTTGCCCCTGGTGATGAACTTAACCCTCAGACCTGCTCCTCCCCGGGGGCGGGGGCTGGCTCCCCTGGCAACCAGACCCCTCCCAAGCCTGAATGGGAGTTCCCCTTGTGGAACAAGAGATGCTTTTGTCACTTGGGGACTTCCAAGGAGTTTAGGGGTTCTGTGTAGGAACTGGGCTCACGGGGTGAACAGGGAGCAAAACACTCGCTGGTGTTGCCCCGGGGCAGAGGTCGAGTGCTGCGTTTCTTTCTTTCAAAGATTTATTTATTTGAAAAGCAGAGTGATAGAGGAGAGAGAAAGACACACACACACACACACACACACACACACAGCTCTTCCATCAGATGGCTGCAACAGCCAGGGCTGGGCCAGGCAGAAGCCAGGAGCCAGGAGCTCCTGCCGGGTTTCCCACCACGTGGGTGGCAGGGGACGAGGATTTGGGTTTGTCCAAGCTTCCCAGGCACATGAGCAGGGAGTTGAATGGAAAGCAGAGCAGCTGGGACTTGAACTGGCACTGTAAGCAGTGGCTTAACCTGTGCCACAACGTGGGCCCCTGCTTCTTAAAGATGTATTAATTTATTCGAGAGAGAGAGAGAGAGAGAGAGAGATCTTTCATCCACTGCTTCACTCCCTAAATGGCTGCAATGGTTGGAGCTGGGCCAGACCAAAGCCAGGAGCCAGGAGCTTCATCCGGGTGTCCCACGCAGGTGCAGGGGCCCAGGGACGGCCATCACCACTGCCTCCCAGGGTCTGCACTAGCAGAGAGCTGGAGTCAGGAACGGGAGCCGGGATTGTAGCGGATGTAGGCGACTTCACTGCTGGGCACAATGCCTACACCACCACCTCCGAGTCTGATTCTGACTTTTCTCAATCACTTACAAGCACAGACAGCGTTCTCCATGGGGAGGGTGGGGGACGGGACTGGCAGGGATGGCATCCGAGGTCTGTGGCGCTTGTTGCAGGGTAGAGGGGACACGTGAGGCAGCAGTCAGAGGCCCTGGGTCAAGCAGCCCCGAGCCTGGGACCAGCCCCTTGCAAACTAGACTCCCAGGAGCCACAGTAGACCTGGGTTCTGAGCTGTGTTCTTGGCCACTGGGGAGACAAGGTGCAGGTGTGTGTGTGCTGGAACACGTGCTGGGCTGCAGGTCTGTGAGGGCCGTCCTCACGGATTCTCCCTCTCCCCTCTCTCTCTGTCTCGCCTCCTCTCTCTGGAACTCATTGATGATGATGCTGCCCCCTCTGGGAGTGCAGTGGCAGTGTTCTGGTTGTGGTTCTGACCCAGCTGCTCCCACCAACCCCAGGGCTCCCTCCCATCCACACCAGCTCCCACCCAGCCCTAAGCAGTACAACTCCACCAGCCTGCGCCTCTGCTCACCCCCTCTGACCCGGCCTGGCCAGCCGGCAGACAACCCTGGACCTCCAGCCAGGAGAGCTGAGGGGTCTCTGTCACCTCACCTTTGCTCATGGGGGCAGGAAGGCAACAGAGGGGACAAGGCTACACTGCACTCTGCTTGGTGGGTGGAGAAGTGGCGTGGACCACTCCTCCCGCCCCCCACCATGTGGGAGCGGCTGTCACTCCTGTTTGCAGAGGAACCTGGGCCCAGGGGAAGGGAAGCCCTGGAAGGCATTTTGTGTGCCCTTGGGATTGGCAGCCCCTCCCGCTGGTGCCCTCTGCCTCCAGCCTCACTCCCTCATCCCATCAGCAGCGTGTGCTCTTAATGAGCCTGTCCAGACTGGCCTTGTCTCTTGGCGCTGACGGACCGTATCCCTGTAATCAAAGTTTCATGGCTCAATTTAGCGCAGTAGGGACAGGTAATCCCAGCTCCCCGGCTCCTCCCGCCCTGCTCTCAAACGTCATTTCTGGGATTGGGCCCAGAACATTCACGCACTATCCTCAGATCACTGCCCACTGGGCTTTGCAGAAGGGGCCCCCACCCCCACTCCAGGAAGGCCCGGGTGCCGCTGCCTCCCTCCACCCCCTTGTGGTGGTCACTTGTCACCTGGGCCACCCAGATCTCCCCGAGCACCTTTAGGAGGTTGCCACGGGGTCACCCTCAGGCACCCCTCCCAGCTCCCCTTCACACCAAGCTGAGTGGCTTTGCCCAATAAAACAAGGTGCAGGGGCCCAGTCTGAGCACCCAGGAGAGGCAGAGGGACCGTGCAAAACAGAGGCTCAGCCAGACAAGTGCTGAGGCCTCGCAGCCCAAGGCCAAGATCGCCATTGCCCCTGTAACCCTGGCCATGCCATCTGAGGGGTGACAACCCAGGACCCATCCCAGAAGAGAGGGACTGGACTGGACGGCTGCTCAGGCTGAGACACAGTTTCCTTGGGCCCTTGGTGTGGAGGTATTGGGAGGTGGTGGCCCTTTAAAAGGTGTGGTTCAGAGGGAAGTCATTGGGTCATTAAGGGGCTGCCACTTGGAAGGGAGTGGGCCCTTGTGATGGAAGTGCGAGTTTGCCCCCTGCCCCAGTTCCCAGCTCCCCAGGAGCCTGCCCCCTGCCCCCGTTCCCAGCTCCCCACAAGCCTGCCCCCTGCCCCTGTTCCCAGCTCCCCACGGCATCTGGCGTCCCAACCTCCCATGTCTGTGGTACCAGCTGCCACGAGGCGGCTCAGCCAGGGGCACCCTGGGAAGAGCCAGGCCATGCTGTGGGGCTTTTCAGCCTCCAAGTCTGGGAGCTCCAGAACCTCTTGTGTGCAAGTCCCCCAGCCTCAGGGGCTTCATTTTTGTAACAGGCTGCGCGTGGAGTGCAGCTCACACAGCCTCGAGACTCAGCCGCCGAGTCTTGGCAGCTTGTCCTGCAGCGAGACTGCTGTCACAGCCACCTCTGTCACAGTCTCAGCCAGGACTGTTGAAGGGGACTGACCCCATGACAGCTTGGAGGGGTGGGTCTTGACTGGTATAAGCCAATCAGTACATCATGTTCTCCCCCTGCCTGGAGTGAGGTCAAGAACCATTTGCTGGGGCTTCCAAGAAAGAGAAACTTCTCTGCTGCCTGATAAAGATGCTGTGGGTTAAGGGTGTGAGGTCTGGAACCAAGGCAGCCATTTTGTTGCACATGGGACTTCCATGGGTGGTTGGGGGAACAAGAGACAGAGAAACGAAGCTAGCCTGAGAAATCAGCCAGCAGGTTGGTGGGGAAGCAAGCCCTTGATGTCTTTGGGCTGCTGGAGCAAGCCATCCTTAAAGCCAGCTCACCTCCCACCCCTGCCAACGACCGCCCTCCCCGAGGGACAAGCATATTGCAGGGATGCATCTGTGACATTCTTATAGACGCTGGAGCCTGTGTGAGTGCTGGGCTTTCCAGCTGTGTCTGCTGAAAAACTGGATGAAACCAGATTGCTCAAGAGACCTCCAGTGTCAGCTTCAAGAGATCCATGCTGCGGCCATTCCGACCCAACAGAAGCCACCACACTGCATCTTTTTTTTTTAAGATTTTATTTATTTACTTGAAAGAGTTAGAGGAGAGGGGAGAAGAGAGAGAGAGAGAGAGAGAGAGAGAGAGAGAGAGGTCTTCCATCCACCGGTTCACTTCCCAAATGGCTGCAATGGCTGGAGCTGAGCTGATCTGAAGCCAGGAGCCAGGAGCTTCTTCCGGGTCTCCCACACAGTTGCAGGGACCCAAGGACTGGGACCATCTTCTACTGTTTTCCCAGGCCACAGCAGAGAGCTGCATTGGAAGTGGAGCAGCCGGGACTTGAACAGGCACCCATATGGGATGCCGGCACTGCAGGCAGCGGCTTTACCTGCTATGCCACAGTGCTGGCCCCAGGTTGGGTCTTGACTGTGTCTCTTCTTCCCTATGAGACCCCAGGCCTGAGTTTCTTCACCTGTGAAATTGGTACCCTAGCAGCACACACTTGCAGGACTTCCATGAGACTTAAATGAAGTATGTAGGGAGCTTGATAAAGGGCCTGGACCATTCCCAGGTGGTTAGTTAATGGTTCCTGTTGTTACTGACATCTGATGATGCTGAACGGTGATCATGCTATGAGTCCAAGTGTAAAAACCAGACACAGAACTGGGTGTATAGTGCAATGAAAATTGTATAAAATGTGCATACAATTTTGCATTGAAACATCAGATTACCCACGGAAATGAATTTAAAATTCATTCTGGAATTGCAGACAACTGAAGAATTCTTTATACTATCTTGCATTCGTGCAGAGTTCTGCTACACAGTACCTCTATGCTCAGAAGGGAAGCCTAGGGGTTGGCCTTGTGCTGTAGGAAGTTAGGCTGCCACCTGCAGTGCCGGCAACACATATGGGCTCCAGTTCCAGACCCGGCTGCTCCACTTCTGATCTGGCTCCCTGTTAATGCACTTGGGAAAGCAGTGGATGATGTCCTGAGTGCTTGGGCCCCTGCACTCACGTGAGAGACCCAGAAAAAGCTCCTGGCTCCTGCTTTGGACCGACGCAGTTCTGGCCATTGCAGCCAATTGGAGAGTGAACCAGCAGACGGAAGATTCATATTTCTCTCTCTCTCTCTCTCTCTCTCTCTCTCTCTCTCTCTCTGCCTTTCAAATCAATAAAACAAATCTTTTTAAAAATTATTTGAGAGACAGAGCTGTAGGGAAGGAGGAGGGGGCTCTTGCGCAATAAAGACAGCCTGCCGGAGGTGCCGTGCAGAGAAGCCCGGAGCCAGTCGCAGGCCAGGTGTGACGAGCAGCCTGCCACCGGCGCCCAGTAGGGCCACCTCCTGCTGCCACCCCTTGGCATCGCTCCCTCCCACGCAGAGAAAACTGAACTCTGTGAACCACAGAGGCTGTTAGAACTAGACTGGTTCGTTATTTATTTTTAAGAATCACGCATTTTGTTAGATTTGAAAAGCAGAGTGACTGAGAGGAACAGAGAGATGTGAGAAATCTTCCAGCTGCTGGTTTCTTTCCCAAATATCCCACAACAGACTGAAGCCAAGCACCCAGAACCCAGAACCCAATGCAGGTCTTCCACATGGGTGGCAGGGACCCAGCCACTTGAGCCACCAGCTGCTGCCTCACAGGGTGAGGAATGGGAGGCAGAACAGGATCACAGCCAGGCTCTGAGATACGGGACTGGGTGCCCCAAGCAGGCTGGACCTTACCCACCACACCAGTGTCCTTCCCTGAGCCCTGGAATATTGGGAATAGCAGTGTGTGACATGAAGGCTGGATCACAAAGATTCTGCCACACCCACCATGCTTTCTGTACGGTCCCTCAGCCTGGGAGAGCCACCTGGTGAGGCTGCCCACGCAGCCTGGGGAGAGGGCCCTGTGGTCCCCGTGGGCTCTGTGGCAGGGATTGGATATCAACAGCCGGCAGTGAGCCCTGCAGCCTGTACCTCGTGAGAGACTCCGGGCTACAGCCCCTGCCTGCTGGGGGCCACCAGTCATCCCCACCTGGTTTCTTGGGGGGCACCCCATGCGCATTCCAGGGAGAGGGCTTGGAGCTGGAAGGAGAAAAGAATGAGACCTCGTACTGATTATGGCCCCATAGAGGGAGGTGACGAAGGCAAGCAGCCCCCAAGGCATGCTGAGCTCCAAGATTTAGTATGTTCCCAAGGATGCACTGCCAGATCTGCTGCGCCTGCACACCCCGGCCAAGCTCCTACCTAGATCGCCTCCCGGTGGGGTGGTGGTGGTGGTACTGGTCAGGGCATCGGATAGCACCACCACACCCTCCGTCCACCAGGGGGCGCCAGCCCTGCCCCCGGTTGCACTCAGCAGGGCGCCTGGCTCGCTCTGCTCTGCAGGCAGGTGGAATGGTGACAGCCCACTCCTGTCCCTGTGTCTCCACTTCACCTGATGCCAGGGCTCCTGCTTCTAACTTAATGAAGTTCTCTTCTGGTCAAGAACTCTGAATACACAGTGCTGGGCAGGCGCCATCCGGAGGTGACGGCTGTCAGGTCCAGGCACCCTGGGCCGCTGGAGCTGGAGTCACGCTCCTGGGGTGAACCCTAGTGCACCACTGGTCTTGGACAGGTCTCTTCCCCTTCGGCCTCAGTTTTCCATCTGTGGAATGGGGAGATCAGGGCACGTGCCTGATAGGAGGAACTGAGGGCCAGTGTGTGACACGTACCACATGGCACCATGCGGATGTTCCACGTGTCCACTTCCTCTTAGACCAACACGTGCTGGGCAGACGTGTGTGTGTGGACATCTGCTCTGGGTCAGATGGCCTGTGTGGGCAAGACTGCGGGTTCTGTATTGGACATCTGGACCCTAATCCTGGGCTGTGCTCAGGGAATGCAAGAATTCCCCTGTTCCTGCTGAGCTCCAGGCCTCACTCCTCCCCAGTGGCCTGTCCCACAACCACAGAAACTTCTAGACACTTCTGGAGTCTCTTGGGTGGGCAGAGGCTATGGCTCCCAGGCTTGGGCCCGCCCGTCTGCCCTGCCCGCAGTCTCCTCTTTGGCAGGGTCATCCGTCACTGTCACAGCAGCGATGTCCTAAAAATGCTTTCCAGGTGGCCCCCAACCCCTTCTGCCATGCCTCTGCCTCAGTTTCCTCGTCTGTCAAAGCCTGGCGTCCACTCGGTGGTGGTGGAGCCTTTAAGAGGTGGGGTTTAGTGGGAGGGTTAGGTCATGGGGGAGCTTCCCTTGCAAGGGATTGTGGGATCCCTGAGCTCTTGCAAGGGTGAGTTTTGCTAAGAGGCAGCCTGACCCCGAATCACTCATAAGCTCCCTGTCTGGAGACGGGATCTTTCTCTGTTGCAAGCACACCCACCAGGGCCAGGCAGGTGAACTTCCAGAAGTGTAGCAGAATAACCCCCTCTTCTCGGCCCAGCAGCCCCTTCAAGTCCTTTATTGCTGTAATGAGAACCAGACTAACTCAGAGCACTGACTCCTGCTGTCCCCGGGGCTCTTTGTGGATGTAATGAGTTGTCACCTGTGAACCTGCTTTCAAGGGCGCCTGACACAGAGCCAATCATTTTATTGTGTTCAGGACTTAGACTGTTATGCTGGTGCTGTGGCATGGTGGGTACAGCCGCCACCTGCAGTGCCAGCATCCCATATGGATGCCAGTTCAAGTCCCGGTGGCTCCACTTCTGATCCAGCTCTCTGCTGTGGCCTGGGAAAGCAGTAGAAGATGGCCCAAGTGCTTGGGCCCCTGCACCCACATGGGAGACCAGGAAGAAGCTCCTGGTCCCTGGCTTTGCCCTGGGTGGTTGTGGGCATTTGGGGAGCGAACCAGTGGATGGAAGATAACTCTCTCACTCTCTCTCTATGTCTCTCCCTCCTCTATGTAACTCTGCCTTTCAAATAAATAAAATGAATCTGAAAAGAAAAAGACCTTTTCATACAAGATTCTTGCCACAGTTTGGATATGAGATTGAATGTTGAATGTCTCCCAAAGGCCCATACTATGGGGGGGGGGAGCTTTAGGAGGGTGCCTAGTGGGGGGTCCTTGGGTCACTGGGGTGTACCCTCAGAAGGTGGTCCTGGGAAGGTCATGAAAGCCTGAGTTTGGGCACAGCCACTCTCTCCTGCCTGGCTTGCCATGTGTTCCCGCTGCCTCCCATGCTCCACCATCGCTTCCATTGTTCTTATCCATGTCTGCCAACGGGGCCAGCCAGTCTTGGGTTCGAAGCTCCCCAACTGAGAGCTAAATAAAGCTGTTCTCTGTATGAAATCAGCTACCGCAGCTGTTTCAGTGGTGGAGCGCTTCGACGCTGCCTTGTTAGGTGGTGAGGAGACCCAGGGGGTGGCTCACATGCCCCTGAGCCTAAGAGATGGATCTCTGGGTTTTCCCTGTGAAGAAGACAAGTGCCCAGCTTTGCTGTCCTCTTGTGGCATGGTACATGCCTGCCAGCGTTCTGTCTTGGCCCAATGCAGCTCCGCACCTGCCCCTGTGAGAGGAAGGTGATTTTCACATGAGGAACAGGAATGCAAGTGCTTCTTGAGGAGCTCACGTTTTGGAGAGAGCGTTTTGAAAGCAGATGTTCGGAAATGTTTCCATTGTTACGAGCATTCTTTTGCCAAAAAGCAATGAAAATATGTTTCCTTTAGAAAATTCTCCAAATCTGTGCACTTTAAGAACCAGGAAATAGAAAATTTTAGCCATTTAAAAAATCTTCCCCCCAAAAAAACTTCCAGGGAGTTTTAAGTCCATTTGTTAAAAATACACAACGCTGATCTCTTGATTTACTTGCTAGACCACCTACCATGGACAGCAGGGGAAGGTTCATTGTACGTGAAGCATATGTTACCAGCATAGCTCTTATTTGGTGAGTGGGATTAAAATGTGAGTACTAGGAGTGGGGGTTGGGGTGCATTGGGCTAAGCCGCCTTCTGGGATGCCTGCATCTCAGAGTGGAACTGCATCCCAGCTGCCCTGCTTCAACTCAGCTTCCTGCTGATGTGCCTGGGAGGGCAGTGAGAGATGGCTGAGGTGCTACAGCCCACACGGGAGGCCTGGATGGAGCTCCTGGCTCCTGGATTTGGTCTGTCCCAGCGCTGCCAGGGTGGCCATCTGGGGGAGTGAACCTGTGGACAGAACCTCTCTCTCTCTCTCTCTGTCACTGCCTTCCAAGTGGATATGCAAATAAATATTTTTTTAAAAATAAACAGAGTATTTAGAAAGTGCAGCACGGTTTTCAGTCCTATCACCTGTGCAGACCAAGCCTGGAAATGACAGAGGAGACCACGGCATTGCCACAATGCGAAGCGGTAGCCCACACTTCTCAGGATGTGAACAAGCCCACCCGATTGCAGTGCTGTCCAGAAACAAATAAGACTGTTTAAATGAAATCCAGGAACTCCGTGTTGTACTGAGTCAATGAGAGAAAAAAAGCACTTTAAAGAAGTGCTTATTTAATCTTATGTTCTCTTATACAACTTTTTGAAAAATTACTTTTTTTTTATTTGGAAGGTAGAGAAATAGAGATCTTCGGTCTGCTGGTTCACCCACCAAGTGCTGGCAACAGCAGGGGCCAGGTCTCTCACCTGGGTGGCAGGGACCTCCGAGGATGCTCACTGGCAGGGAGTTGGAACTGGAGTGGTGCTGGGTCCTGCACCCAGACGCTGTGATATGGGATGTGGGTGTCCCCAGGGGCATCTTAACCACTGCATCATAGGCCTGCCCCCCATTCCTAGGTTTTATATATACTTTATATACCGTTTATTGTATATTTGTCATCTCTATGCAATTTGGGAACCTTTTCATCACTTAATTAACTCCAGGATTCCCGGCAGTTTCGGCTTCTTGGTGCTGGGTGGGCGGGCGGCGAGACAGCAGGTTTTCTCCGCTGTCCGGTTGACAATGCAGGCGACCCCGCTCTTGGCCCCTAGGGGGCAGCAGAGGGAAGCAAACCAAAGCTTTGCCAAGGAGCAGAAACGGAAGCTCAAAGAGGGGTGGTCCGGTCAGAGACCTGCAGATGTCTGTTTTCTGTCCAGCCTTCCTGGCCCAAGACCACGAGGGCCGAGAGCGGCCCAGGGACTGCAGCCTGCGGGGCTCCGAGCTGAGCCCTGGCGATGCGAGGTCCAGGAGGCTCGGGGAGTGCGGGGGCTCCGGCCCCTGCCCTGCTACTTCCGGCTCTTCAGCTTCTCCACTGGAGATCCGCCAAGACTTCCAGAAGGGCTCACGTGCCGCCCTCTGACCAGGCACGGCGTGGCGGCAGCTGCGGCTCTGGCTCTCCTCGTGGCTGCCAGCCGCTCCACCCCAGCCGGACCTGCCGCCGTTTCCCTCCTGCGCGCACCTGGGGTCAGGGTGCACGCGCGAGCCGCCGCTTTGCCACGGAGAGACTGGAGCGCCTGCCCGGCGGGGCTCGGCCAGGTTCCCTGTGAACGAGGCTGGGTGGCGAGGCTGAGGTTTCTCCTCGCGCAGAGCTGGCCTCGGTCCCTGGCGTGGTCCGCAGGGTCGTCCTGAGCTTCCTAGCCCCTCTCCCAGACATCACCCTCGCCTCCCCCCAACACACACACCTGCTGCCTTCCAGATATGCAGCCCTGGACGCGCCATGCTCCTGCTCCAGAGCCCTGGCTGGATTCCCATCTCTGAGGGCAGAATCAAAGCTCCTGGGCCCTGGAGTAAGAGCCTCCCTCAGTCCCTGGAACCCCAGGCACTTCCCCTTGCTGGAAGGCCTCCGGGCAGCCTCAGTTTCCTGATCTGTAAGATGGACCCACGCATCCAGAGAGAGGGGCAGGAGAAGGCGAGAGGATGTGTGGCAGCCCGCCCCTGGTGAGGGCAGTCCCCACATGCTGATTGCCCCCGCCCACTTCTATTTTACAGATGGGAAGACTGAGGCTGACAGAGAGGTTATGGGACCTCCAAAGACGCGGAGCCCCCCTGTGGCGGAGCCAAGATTGAAATTTGGAACTTCCCACTGTGTTGTTTTTTTTTTTTTTTTTAAAAAAAGATGTACATTGGCCGGCGCCGCGGCTCACTAGGCTAATCTTCCGCCTTGCGGCGCTGGCACACCGGGTTCTAGTCCCGGTCGGGGCGCCGGATTCTGTCCCGGTTGCCCCTCTTCCAGGCCAGCCCTCTGCTGTGGCCAGGGAGTGCAGTGGAGGATGGCCCAGGTGCTTGGGCCCTGCACCCCATGGGAGACCAGGAAAAGCACCTGGCTCCTGGCTCCTGCCATCGGATCAGCGCGGTGCGCCGGCTGCAGCGCGCCGGCCGCGGCGGCCATTGGAGGGTGAACCAATGGCAAAGGAAGACCTTTCTCTCTGTCTCTCTCTCTCACTGTCCACTCTGCCTGTCAAAAAAAAAAATTTAAAAAAAAAAAAGATGTACATTTATTTATTTGAAAGGCGCGCACACCCACACTCACACCCACAGAGGCACAGGGAGCTCTTCCACTTCCCAAATGTCCGCGGTAGCTGGGGCGGGGCCAGGCTGAAGCCTGGACTTGGGAACTCCATCCAGGTCTCCCGCAGGTGGCACGGACTCAGGTACTTGCACCGTCACCTGCTGCTTCCCAGCAGCTGAAATCTGGAGCAGAGCTGGGATTCAAACCCACGAACTCCAGTGATGGGGTGTGCACATCCCTGGGCGCGTCTTCATCCCTGTCCGCAACATTCTGCCTCCTCTGGGTCTGGATAGTTCCCCCACCCCCTACTGCATATATCGCCTTCTGCAATCACAGAATTGATGAGCTGCTCCCCCTGTAGACAGTGCCAGGACGCCGCAGACCTGGCCTGTCTCGTTCATCCAGCACATGGCGCAGAGTGGAGCCATGGGGGGTAGGGGCCCAGAACTACTTCCTAAGGCGCCCCTGCAGCTCAGACAGTTTCAAAGAACAGGCTGGGGAGTTCCGGCTGAGCACGTTCTAATGAGACCGCCTGCTTCTCCCCGGGAGAATCTGCCCCCTGGGATGCCTTTGATTGCACAGAGCTCCAGGCTCCTCCCTCCCTGGGGAGCCCTGGCCCCCTAGCAGCACTCCCAGCCTGAGATTTCCTGGGAGTGAGCGTTTAGCCAGGCTCCCTGATCACTGGAACGTGGTTTATCACTCTCTTTTTAGAGGGCCTCTGTGTCTTCAAGACAGAGAAGCAGAGAGGCAGCCTGTTAGAGACATCAGCCGTCTGCTGGCTCACTCCACAATGCCGGCAACAGCCGGAGCTGGGTCAGGCCGAGGCCACAATCTTGGCCCTCAACCCAGCTCCAGCTGTCACCTGCTGCTCCTGGGGTGTGCACTGGCAGGAAGCTGGACTCCGAAGTGGGGCTGAAATCCAGAAACTCCAATGCAGGAGTCTTAGCCGTTGCTCCAGTGCCCGTTCCTCTGCCAATCTCTTGCTACACTCTGCTTTCCCAAGCCCTATTTTGACAGTTCCGGAAACAGGAAGTGACATAGGCAACCCGGAAACTGGCCAATGTCTTCGTGGCTCCGACTGGGAAGAAAAGCCGCTAGGGAAATGCATCTGCAATGTGACCCTTCAAAGTGTGTTCACATTCCCCAAAAAGTGTTAACTGGGTGACTCAGAGCGGCAATTGATTTCCTGGGAGTTTTGGTTGAATATATATGTATATGTGCACAATTTCCAACTGTATGGCTTCAGGAGTTCTCATGAACCAAACACACGTGTGTGACCAGCACACACATGTGTGAGCAGCCCCCTGAAGCCCCCCTCATGGCCCCGCCAAGTTGGCCTCCCCCGAGTCACACACATCCCATTTGCATCCTACATAGGTTTTACTGAAAAATGTTTGGGGGCCTTCATTCCAGGTTCTCAAGTTCAAATACCCCCAGAGGCCTGGCAGGTGTGCTCAGTGCTCGGTGGGCCCACGGCTGCTTTGCACCTACACAGGGACATTTGCCCAGGACTCCCAGGAAGGACACAGGCCCCTTGTTGGCAGGAAGTCTGGGTTTTGATGTGACATCTTGTGATTCTTGGATGTTGGCTGCGTGCGAAAATGGAACGGGCTTGTGGATGCCACCTCCAACCCAGGCCAAACCAAATAGGCTCCCAGGGCTGAATCTGGCCTGCAGGCTGCCAGTGGAACTGACCCCAGGGCCTGTTTCCAAGCACCCAGAAAGGACACCCAGTTGAGTGAGGGGGAGGGCAGACCAAAGCCACACATCGTGGCTTAGATGACTGGTGCACAGCGGGGCTGCAGATGGGAGCCCAAGCCAGTGTCTCTGACCTGGAGGGTGCCCCCAGGCATGTGGGCACTGGGAGCAGTGGCAGGCGAAGCAGTGGCATGCTACAGCAGGTTTCCCTGCAGCAGGTGCAGCTGACGGGGGCTGCAGCAGGCAGACAGGAGGCCGCTGGGAGGCCCTGGCCCATGGCTTGGGCTAAAGAGGAAGGATCCAAGGCTTTGGGCTCCAATTTCTGGCCTCCTAAACAAATGCTAGCCTGCACCAACCTCTGTCTGCAGCCAAGGTCATTCCAACTGTGCAGCTTCTCCAAGCAGCTTGCAGGTGAGTCCTGATTCACTTCAGGATGCGTAGACGTGCACATGAGTTCTGATTCACTTCAGGATGTGTAGACGCACAGCGTGCGCTCTTGTCATCTGCACCCAGAGCAGCTCCTCCTACTGCAGCTCCCGCAGCAGGTCCAGCACACAGTCTTGCAGAGTTCTGATCTCCCCGCACCCTCAGATCAGCCAACAGCAACCCCATCCTGGCGGGGACTCCCCTTTCTCTCACGCCCCATGCTGTGTCCTTTAACAAATCCTACTGGATCTGCCTTGAAAACCAGTGCAGATGCTCCACAGCCATTGGAGTCTGGTCTGAGACCCTGCGTCACTCGCTAGCTCTGCTTCTACTCTGGTTTATCTGCCCACTGCCCTCAGGCTTCTGCCTCGCTCAGGCAGTGCCTGATGCCTCTCACCCGTCATTCTTCCTCCAGACTTGTCTGTTATCCCAGGCTCCTACCCCAGGGCCTTTGCATGGGCTGAACCTGTGCTGGGAACTCGCTTTCCCTGGTGGCAGTCCCCAGGGCCAGCTCCTTCCCTTGCTTCAAGTCTCTGTCAAGGTCACCTTCTCAGGGAGCTCTCCTGCTCTGTCCCTCCCTGCCTAATGCTCCTCGCTGGCTCCTGCTGCCTGCAGACGAGAGCTCAGTGAGCGGATGGGTGTATCGTAGGTGGAAATGTCGGCCCCCTTGGAGCTCCCCTGGGATATTCCTTAAGAGACTGGTCCCTGAGACACGTGGCCCCTGGGACCACGTGGCTTCAGATGCCCAGCCTGTGGCTCACAGCGCCCTGCCCACAATGCACACCAGTCATGGACTTCAGCCCACAAACACACAGCACAGGGACTCTGTGTGTGTGTGTGTGTGTTTTAAGATTTATTTATTTTTTTGAAAGTCGGAATTAGAGAGAGGGAGAGAGAGCGATGTTCCATCCATGGATGGTTCACTCACCAAATGGCTGCAATGGCTGGGGCTGGGCCAGGCCAAAGCCAGAAAAGCCAGGAGCCAGGAGCTTCTTCCAGGTCTCTCCCACATGGGTGCAGGGGCCCAAACACTCATGCCGTCTTCTGCTGCTTTCCCAAGTGCATTATCAGGGAGCTGGATCAGAAGTGGAGCAGCCGGGACTCGAACCTGCACCCATATGGGATGCCAGCACTGCAGGCAGCGGCTTAACCCGCGGGGCTGATCTTTCAAAATGCTGCCTTCCTTCCTTGTAGCAGCTTAGTCAAAATGCATCTTACCTGACAGCCAGTTCTCTCACCATCACCGTGACTGCATGGAGGCCCTCACTCAGAACACCTGGGGATTCTTTATCCCGGGATCCCCCAAAAGGACTCTGAGAAGCAGGGGTGGGGGACCCACACTATCCTTCATGCTGGCTCCTCCCACAAGCACAGGGCCCATGGTGCCCTACCCTCACCTGCCTTCTGGCTACACAGCAGCCGCCGCCGACTGCACACACAAACCCACCCACGGCAGTAAGGCAACTCCTAATCCATAACCTTGAAGCCTGCGAGGCCCGCCACTCGGCAAGCCAGGGATTGCTGGAGCAATTCTCAGCCTGGGCAGAATTCAAATGAGCTCTTGCAATCAGCATGCAATTAATGGTTGCACGCCCTGGGCATCTGAGCCCCGTGGGCTGTGTGGTGGGAGGCGCATTCAGGGAACCCGGCTCGTTCGCCTGAGAGCAGAAGCAGGGGCGAGGGTGCCCACGGGGGGCCAACCCAAGGTTCCTCACGTCTGAGTTGGTTCAGACGTTACTGATGGGGGCAGGCATTTATTGAGTGCCTACTGTGTACAAAACGCTGTTGATAGACATGATCTCACCAGAATAGACCAAGGTGATGTCCCTGTGAAGTAAATTCCTGCCTGGCTTTCAGACATGGAAACTCGGGCTCAGAGAGGGCAAGTGACTTGTTCAAAGCCACACAGCTGGTCAAGCCTAGGTCAGCGTGCTAGAGAACTCTGCTCCTGTGGCTGCCTTGATGATTCCAGGTGGCCAGCCCTCGTACTGGTGAGGAACGGGACCCCTTGGGTCGTGCTGTGGGGGTTGAGGGGGTGGGGCACAGCCTGCAGGGAGAAGTTCTGGCTGTTACTCCCAACGCCTAGCACCGGGTATGGGGCACCTTGCTGCTGTTCCAAGCTCTGACCGGGAGCTGACAGGCGGGCTGTTCGACCTTGGGAGGGGGAGCTCTTCCTAGAAGCTGGGGGTGGGTACCTCTTCCAAACCACAACTATGCCATCCTCCTAGAGCCCCTTCTGCAGCCCCAGTCCCTTTCGGGCCGGCCTCCCAGCTCCTGCCCGTGGGGGAAGCCCTGTGGTTCACACCCCCTGGGGAAGTTTCTGGGGACCCTGACTGCGCCTCTTGTACGGGGAGGGTGCTGCTGGCCCACGCCCCTCGTCGGCTGGGGAGCCTCAGCAGGATCTGCCCGTGTTTCTGGTGTGCGCCGCCTCCTCCCCGCCCTCGGCGCGCCCCTTCCCAGCTAGCCTGGGATACTCTGAGCTCCTCCGACTCCGCGCTCCGGTGCGGGGGTCCCTGTCGGGGGCGTCCCCTCCTCTGCCAGTCCCCCGCCCGCGCCCGGCGAGGGGCGCCCTCTCTTTCCCGTGCGGGCGGGCGGGCGCCGGAACAGTGTCGCGGGCCGCCTGCAGGTGTCTCCCCACGGAGGGGCGCGCGTCCCTGCGCTGCGGCCGCTGCCAGGCGCCAGAGGCTCCTCGCCGAGGTGCACTCGCGCTCCTGGCTCCGGGCGCGCCGGAGCCGCTCCTCGTGCGCCGCGCCCGCCTCCCTCCTCCCCGCCACCCTCCTCCCGTCCCGGCGCCCCCAGAGCCCGCCGCACCCCCCGCGTCCGCCGCGCCCCCGCCCGGGGTGGGCTGGCGGGGGAGGGCATGGGCCCGCGCCGCGTCCGCCGCCGCCGCCGCCGATCGCAGGCGCCCGAGCCCCGCGGCGCGGCGGGCAGCGGCCGCTGACG